CAAACCCTAAAGATGAAGACGACAGTCTGAACAATGTAAATAGTGTAAATAGAAAGATTAAGATTTTATGTTTAATATCTTAACATTTTGGATTATTTTCTTGTTTCCGGGGAAAATTTAGAATGAGAGTCCCCGACGTCTTCTGAGCGCTTTCGGCGCTCATAAGACATTTTCAAAGAGTTTTATTTTGTGTTAATAGGGTTGTGTATGCATTGTATTTTCTTTGATAGATTTGGGGTATGGAACCTTCACGGATCGTCACATGTCAAGTAAGTTTATTCAAGTACTGTGTCTTCAAACGTCAGTCTGTAGTGGCTTATCGTTTTCGTAGTTGTCCTTTTTATATTGTTAGTAGCGAAATATATTTAGTAAGTTACAAATGTGATGGTGGACTAATGGATAGAGGCTCGGGGTTGAGGAATCGAATCTATTACATTCACTGACGTGCCGATACCCTTGGAAATGGTATGTATCCTCTTCTTCTCCCCCCAGCTATGGGTAAATAGCAGGACAGACTGGGTTCTATAGCCTTGGATGGCAGAAAGAAATGGCAACCTAACGTGGGAAAAATATATGCCTTGTCAGTCATGTATCACGCATGACATATAACTGAAGTCACACACACACACACACACACACACACATATATATATATATATATATATATATATATATATATATATATATCAAACGTTTAATGGAATCAGTATCAAACGTTTAATGGAATCAATTTCCACTTGTGCGTGGTTTGTTAAATAGGAAGCACATGGAATGTCCATTAAGCCATTTGGTGAGCACTTCCTGGTGTCGAAAACGTCATCTGATGTCGGTGGAAGACTTGGAAAGGAACTAGCTAATATTTTGTCTTCTGTACCGAGGAATTTCGATCTACGTTGGTGAGTTTCAAGAAATGTCGCAAAGTCAAATGTTGAAAAATTAACAAAAATAATAATGGAATTTGAAATTAACGCGTGTTCACGCGCTATTTAATATCAGAGGAAACTCAGCAGAAAAAAAAAAAACTTAACAAATATTTACCTCTCAGTTGAAGTTAATAAAAATTGCTGATAATAACGATTGCATCATGAAACTCCTAAATGTAGCCGTCTCTTCTACTCCAATAGCTTCATGTCTCGCACCTCTCGCCTGTGGGACACCTTTCCCTATTCCAGTTTCCCTGAGAGCTATAATCTCCAACTATTCAAATGTAATGTCAATCGACATCTCCAGTTGCCTTGATCTATCCACTACCCTTCTCCTCATCCTTTCTTCTATCACTCCTATCTGATCTTGCTCCAAATTTTCTGTAACCCCTTACATCCTAGTGGCTTCCCGCCTTGCTTGGGGTTGAAACGCTTAAATATATATATATATATATATATATATATATATATATATGGTACGATGGATAAATTGTCGTCTAAATGACGCAAAAATGAAAGTAACACTGACATCACATTTTAACAGATAAACAGGGTGCGATGTATAAATTGTCGTCTAAATGAAGCACACGCACGCAGACACACACACACACACAAATGGTAATAACACCGACATCGCATTTTAACAGATATATTTACCAAAATTACACAAATATATCTTGATATACTAAAGAGTAAATTTATTTAATAAAATCCGCATTGGCTTCAACCATGGCCTCCACACGATTTCGGAATCTCCTGCAACTTTTCTGAACGGTTTCTTTGCTTAAGTTGGTGAATGCTGCTATAATCCTAGCTTTCAGTTCACTTTGGTTGATTTCTCGGTTAGCTGCACCCTGCACTTAATAATCAAGGGGGGGTTGCAGTCAGGGGAGTTAGGTGGCCAGGTTGATGTGGTCGCAGAAATTGTTTGACTGCAATGACTGGTTACTCCTTTATGCGTGACATGGTGCAGTGTCATGTTGTCAGACATAGCCTCTTTCAGCAGCCACCCTCTTGACCCAGAGAAGCACTACCTCCTCAGGGCACTTAATGTAAGCATCCATATTGATGCTGAATGCCAATCAGTACAGCATGCCATTTTGAATTCCTGGCGGAGTGAATTGTTTTCCATCGTATTCTGCATATATATATATATATATATATATATATATATATATAAATTAAAAAAATAAAAATAATAATAATATATATATATATATATATATATATATATATATATATATATATATAATTGTCGGACTTTGTTCATTTCATAATGTGTATAATGTGTTTATATATATATATATATATATATTTCATAATTTGTTCATATATATATATATATATATATACATAAATTAAAAAACAACAATAATAATAATATATATATATATATATATATATATATATATATATATATATATATATATATATATATACATATATATATATATATAATTGTCGGACTTTGTCCATTTCATAATGTGTATAATGTGTATAATGTGTTCATATATATATATATATATATATATATATATATATTCATAATGTGTTCATATATATATATATGGGGGACTGATTATTCCCAGGAGAGGAGTTAGCTTTTTTGTTATGGCGTTAGTTTTGGGGGTAAGTGTGGGCTATTCTTAAATAATGGGGGCATTGAGAAAGACTGAGTTTTGGGTTAATGAGCCCCAGTATTTCATAAATAGGCAACGCCGCCCCCTATAAATTGGTTAACCCATAAAAAAAAATTTTAACTGTTCTCCTTGGAACAATCAGACCAACACACACTCACACAGATACGCACACATATATACATCCATACACATATACATACACCCACACACACACACACACATATATATATATATATATATATATATATATATATATATATATATATATATATATCTTTTTCTAACATGTTTCATTGAATAATATAGGATGTCTATTTATTTTTCTAATGATTCTTTCCAGTTCTCTAATCATTTTCTTGATTTTAAAATGGAAGTCATCATTGATTATATCACAGTTACGGTAAGTTTATATTTGTAATTCGCCCCTGAGGATTATCTTGAGGGAGATCAAAAGCACTTGGGTAGGAAAAATCTACGGTGCCTTCATCTTAACATCAAGAAATTAATAAGAGAAC